GCCACCTTTGCACCGTTCCAATTCTTTCGAGGCTTCCTTGCCTGGACGTCTTGTTACTAGGTGCGTTCATCAACGTTACCTGCTCTATTGCAACCGTATATTGCCATTCTCGAGGAAAGCCTTGTACCCGTTTGTGATGTATGTGATCTCGTCCGAATCTCTACCAAGCTTCTTCATGGCACGCTCAACTTTGCCAACCGAATACTTCTCTGCCTTCCAAGCGGCAAGTGTTTCAAAATACTTGCTGTTGTCATGGCGCATCTTGTCGTACAACTCTGAATTTCGCAGATACTTCTTGGAAGCGGCCTTGCTGACGCTGGACGAAAACATGTCCAACAGACCCCTGTCTTCTTCAGCTTGGTCGGTGTTTATGTCTTCGTCTTCGCGTGTACGGAGAGATCTCCCCTCAACTTGCTGGGCTTCGGCGGAATAGTGAACATGCTTCAAGCTGACAATCTTGTTAGGGTCCTCATATGAAAGCAGGGCATTGCTGATGTCGAGTAAAAAGGCACCGGAAGCTAAGAGCAACACGTATGTGAGCCGCATGCTTATGAACGTGGAGGAGGGCGACTTGAGAGCTACGAGTGAAATTATGGAATGAGACCTATATTGCACTGGATTGCTGTTATCCATTCAAAGTGTTTTTCCTTGCGAACATCATTGTTCATTGGTGGAGTAGATTGAGTTATGTTTTTATATTACGGTATGAAACTAAACAATAACGACTGGACAATGAGATTAATGCCAGAACTGGTCTTCATTGGAAAAAAAAGATAAGGAAATGGATAAAGAGAAAGTGCGTAATTTTAACTCAACCTTGCCTCCAATCCTAAATGGACAATAGAGTCAGAGAAACTTTGCATCTAGAAGATCCCTCTACAAGAGCTGGTCCGTTCGCCTGTTGCTGGACTTTAGCGCTGACTCGACCATCTCATTTCTGGTTGCTCAAACTCCATCCTCTAATCCCAAGCCATCTCTCTAATACTAGTAACCCAGTCCGCATAAACCTCCACCAGCTCCATTGCAGCGCACAGTACATCAAGCGAGATCATTATTGGGGTGTACATTACACCGTGTACTGCACCGTGTGGGTAAGCTACACGTGACAAAACAGCCCTATTAATACCAATCGTTTGGAAATACGTCTGACTACTAATAGAACGGAAAAAGAGTGTATTATTGGTGTATAAATGCTGAGTCATTTTCCTATGCTCCGATTTTTCCAAAATACCAAGAAGAATTGGGTAACGCTGTTTCAACTCGTGAAGGCAGAAGCCAATGCGCCTGAGGCATTAAGTAAGTTTAAGCGCAACGTACTGACAAGCTCAATATTGCTTCCTGTTGTTTACGCGAGCGCTTGTTAACTTGTTTCTAAATATAAATTGTAATGTCAACAATCTTCACAATGAAGTCTACATGATAAGATAGCATTAAAACGTACAGATGCTTACAGCCGTGCAACTACCGCTGGACTAAACCAACACGTGGGGCACTTAAATAAGCTGACATGCTTGCTGCAAACGCGACGACATGGAGCGCAGTGGGTGTTACGGTGCAGATTCTTGTTGTGGGGTTGGGAGCAGGTTAGCCATAACTATTTTATAAGTGAAAGTCGCAAGGTTGGTTTTCAGCTGTATTTTAACCACTTCAGAATACATGTAAAATAGCAATGTACCTACTGTAGCAGCATTTTTGGTTTTAAAAAATGAATCGACCTGTGTGAATGGTTTGAGGAACACGTGGTGATTGCACGCGTTGGCTCAGTTGAAGGGACATGGATACACACCGATTTTGACAAAGGGTTGTAAGCTGTTGAAACAGATTGGTGACAGGGTAAGCCAGAGGTGCGTGGAAGGAACACGATCTTCCAGCAAACGGTCAGTTGGCACGTGACCAGCTTCAACATGAGATGAACGAGACCAAAGGATGGGAGGAGCCCAACGGACTCAACGGACACACGGTTTAAACGGAGATCGCAGGTGGCGAGCGGTCGCGACTGGTTGCGTTAGATGACAAGATGGGTGGAGGAGAGCATACTGGAATTTGCAAAGGAAGCAGAATTCTGAATCTGCGCAGGACGAGGCAAGTAGATGAGAAGAAGTGTGTCGAAAGGAGATAGGCAATCGGAGACTGGAAGTACAGTCAACGACAAGGTAGAAACGAACAAAAGGGCTGTTGAGGCACAGAGTGTGTCCGACAGAACGTGTGAGGATTCTGGTGGACGCATTGCAGGACTGGCTAGTCGAAGAGCAAGTAGGCGGACGAGTGAAGCGACGTACGGTGAGAACAGACAGGGGTAGAAGAGTACCTGGGTTCGCTGTGGTGGCCGCGCACGAGTAGGGTAGGATCCGTAGACGTACGCCCAAGTGGCTTTGAGATGGAGAGTGGTCTGGGTCGTCCCGGGACGTCACGGTGCTTCAGGGAGGACGGGTGTGAACCGACTGGAGATTATCTGTTCGCAAACGAGAACGAGAGACGAAAGAACGTGACAAGCCCGTTACCACGATGGCAACGACCAAGATGGAAGGTCAAGTTGTCGTGGAGGAATTGAGACTGAGATTCTATTTCAAACTTTTCGCAGGTTGAACAATCATATCTTAACTATCAATATATTTCATTTCTTCTTTTGCCAAGAAGGGCTGAGGACCCCTGCGAGCCAAGGGTTACCACTTTGAAATATCTCAAACCTTGGGGAGGCCAGAAATCAAGCAAGCAAAATAAACAACGACGGCGCGGAGACGTCAACGATGGTGACCTTTCAGATCACAACGAAAAAGAAGACGACTGGTCATGAGCGGGAGTTCATTAAGATCAGTATTCCTCGCTTTAGTGGAGGGACAGCGCAAGGTTGGCTGCTCTTGATTAAGCAATTTGAGCACATTTGTGAGTTGAAGAAGTGGACTTCGGAGGAGAAGGCTCTGCATTTGAACATAGTGCTGGACGATGAAGCACTGAACTCTTTGAAGGTGGCTTCGGAAAGTGTCAATGTTGACGACAAGAGTGAGTTCGAGACTGTTTATAAGACGTGGGGAGCCCAGCATGTACCATGAGCGATTGGAGGAGGAGTTTTACCTCTTTGCGAAGAAGAGGAGCGAAACGGTGGCAGACTGCCATCAGAGAATGTGTAACATAACGTGTATGCTCTCCAACCTCCCGTCTAACGCTCTAGAATGGACGAGCAGACGTTGATCCTCACGTTCAAGAGGGCTATGCCAAACGAGCGGGAAACGGCGTATAAGAGTAGGGGAGTTCATCTCAACTCAATGCCGAAGACCGTCCAGCATTTTGAGCGGCTGGAGCAATCGGAGAGACGCCAAGGCCTCGAGTGGCATGGTAAGAATTGGAAGAAGTCGAGTGGTAAGAACGGCGGCGACAAGAACAACGAAGGAGGGGAAAGTTGTCCAAGAAGGGAGTCAACCAGTCGCAGCAGAAGACCCAGAAGCGTCCCGGTCTTTGGCACTAAAACACTCATTGAAAACACCAATGAAATCAGATAAAACGCTAATAATAAAACTGGTAGCACCATTCTTCTCGGCACGAGCACTACACCACTGATTATAGTCATACCACCAATTCAGCCACACCACCACAAAGATCATCCAGGATATCGACTTTTTAAAAATATCTTCAACAGCATTGCAGCGTAATAAGGCTGTGGTTCGAATTATGAAGATGAAGTTCTAATTCGCTGTCTGTAGCAGCTACGTCTAGCTCCTAAATGGATGCCTTCTCGGTACAGAGTCTTGCAGAGCGTTCCAGTGGTAATCGCTTCGGTCTACTCAGCGTTTCCGCTTTCTCGTCTGTTCTTGGTACTCAATTCCGCGCTTGATGAGTCGACGGCGGCGTGTACTGTGGCGTGTTGGTTGAGATGCCTGCACATCCTCGTGCATTTCTTCTAGTGGACCTGCTGGTGAAGTATCGATTGTTCGGGCGGAGCGTCGAAATGGGATACGGCGGCTTAATAAACCTTGAGGTTGAAGCTCTGTTAGCGTACACGGATCGTTCATTTCGTATTGGAGCTGATGATCCATTTTGTCTTTACAGGAGACCGTCTTCAGGACGCTGTACACCGACTCATCTGGATAAAGACCATTGGGCGTGTGTGGAAGTGGTGATGGACTAGGAACTTCAGAGCACTGTGTCGTCTGCATGGAGATATCACCTTCGCTCTCCGTTACGCCACCCTCGGAATTGTCGCTCCGATAAGCATTACTGCTGGGAGTAGAATTTTGAGCAGTGGCTGCATTATTTGTTCTCCAAGCATGGCGAGCAAAAGTGGCCCTCTCCGGCATCGCTGGATATTAGCAACAAAGCGCCGTGGGTGTGCAGCTGTGCCAGGAATGCAAACACCGGCCTCAAATCCCGCTGCTAGTACGTGGAGACACATACCATTTTTGGCGTTGTAAAGACATCCACGCGTGAGTTCTTGGACATCCGCAAACGAGCCTTCGTCGGGCATACCCACCGTATGGACGCGAACGTCATTCACTGAACTAACTCGCATGATCTTGGCGATCAACTCCAAGTTATCAGTTTCGAGCAAAGCTTGGTGAACCTTGAAGAGAACCATTGGAGGATTCCCTGTTGGTACACGCGTGGGTTATAGACTTCAATGGGGTTTGAGTAAAGCATACCGCTTAGTCAAGCGCTTGGAGGCTTCGGGGGAAACACCAAAGGCTCGGCTTTCGTTCAGGAAGTTATGCATAGAGACAGATATCCCTTGTAGCATTTGTTTTGGGATAGTCCGACAATTGTTGCTGATAATTTTGTACATCTTGTGGTATTGTTCCAGCGGATTATTTGTCGCCCGAGAGTGGCCAGAATGCCTGTCAATTGCAGAAACTCCCATTCATGAAGGACTTTTTTAAGTGCTGTCCCCTTAAATACTTAGCGCTTTTCTTCGGGTAACTCTCCCAAATCGCCACAATGCTAGCCTTCAGCCCATCGTAGAAAGCTCGTGGGGCGTAGTGCAGATCGTACAGCTGCTCAAAAAATCTCAACGCTCCCTTCAACGTCTACACCGAACATGGGCAACTTCTTGTAGATGTTGTGCATGACGTGGTACCAGCACATCAATATTGTTGCCGACGGAAGCTCGGTCATCAACACATTGTGCTCCGCTTTGTCACCGTCGACGATAACGAATTCTAGGTCGAATATCTCTTCAGATGTCTCATGAATGGCGCGCTTTAAAGCACGCAGGCACCACTCCACGTCTCCAGCATTTCGTTTGGATGTACAAAAGTACCCCAAGGAAAGAAATGGCCGCCTCTGTCCGAATATCCGATCCCAAACGCAGGATACTTCTAAGCTACCGTGTTGAATGTACTCTCAAGGTGAATTAACGTGGTCAACGAGTACGCACGCTGCACTTGCGCGTAATCGTGAAGTAGTTTGTAGCACGTCAAGCCGACACGTAATGGATCGTCCGCGGTACCGACTCCAACCCGCGAAACCCAACGATCTTGGCTGAAGACGGCATCACGGAAGAACACAACCCAAGTCGGAGTTGCGTCGCTCAGACCGAAGACGTCATACAACGAAGTGTCAACAATTTCTGAGACTTGGCTAGTGTCGTGACCAGGGTGATTCCGCCTCCAGCGCCGCAGGAATGAGACGACCTGGGTTTTTAGCGGATCTGGGTCATTGAGATAATTTCGTTCTATCGCCGACGAAATGTGTGCGTAAAGCTGTTGCGTCGAAGCCGAAGGAAATAGGTCTAACTTGGCCTCTATGATTGTTTTCATAGGTCTTGTGAGGCGAGTGCGTGGTGGTGAAGTGGCTTGAATATCGTGCATCACGTGGACTCCATGTTTGTACACGACACTTATTCGCCCGCGCTCACACGTGTTAATGTTATATCGGCAGTAGCAGTCGTCACCGTCGTTGTTGGCGAGACAGCGGTGTGGTCGGCAGTTCGTGAGAACTGAGCTCATCGTATGGTAGTCAAACGCAGCATCCACGTCTTGTACGTCCTACCAATGGTCTATTGTGCACATAACCTTGTTGTTTTTCTCTGTCGCGTACCGGTGCAACGTGTTGAGATACTCATCGCATACATCCGTGCCGTTGACTGTCCTCCATATCTCCATCCAAGCAGGCAAGTGGCCTTCCTCCATCTCGGCCATGGACTGTCGTGGTAGAAGGCACATGTGTAAATGTTGTAGTCATTGTTGGTCCCAAGGCGCTTAATTGATCCCTTGGATATCGGAACCTCGGGACGGTGTTGTACGGTCCATATCCTACAACGCGTTGGAGTTCCGTGCGAAATTTGTAGTGATTTATCCAAATTTCTTAGTGTGGTGCTCCGCTGAAATCCTTAGGTGTTTTAGTGTTTTGCTTTGGTGTAACGCCGGAGCATTCTGGTGCCAATGTCTGATCCTCGTCCCAGAAGCAGAATGGCAATAAGTGGTGTTGTTTACACAAGACGAACACGCATAGTGATAGCGAGTGCTTCCCACAGAAGAAGAACGCCTCAAAAGGTGGATTTGGCAAGGCAACGTCCGGGAAGAAGGCGGAGAAAGCAAAAAAAAGGATTGCTGAAGACTTGGAATCTGAATATTCCGTCAGCGATGAAGGCAAGGTAGCTGGCAGTATGTTGAAAAATCGTGAGCCGGCTCGGACGCGACCAATGCGTCTCCGTATTCGCCTATCCAAGACGACGAAAGAACGTATGGCATTAGTAGACTGGATGTAGTACGAGCTATATCAATACAGCTCTACTTAAAACGAACCGAGAACTGGATTTCGAGCTGTTATTTTCTGCGTTGACGTACGAGCAGGTATGGTTACGTGAAAGCGGTAGGTGCAACCACGGTGATGTTTCGGTTTATGGATTTGAACTATGGTACTCGCATTACCCACACATCTTCTGTCCTCAAGGAAGCGAAGGACGAAATGGTACTTGGACGTGACCTTTTTACGGCACTTGGAATTATCGTCAACTTCCGTGACGGAATTGTGGAGTGGAATGGCAATACAGTCCAGGTAAACATGGGTAAGCGAGAGACCAAGGAGGAACAACCGCATCGAGACGTGCTGAGTGAGGTCAAGGAGATTAGCGACTCGTCAGTGAAGCCGAAGAACATGATGGGTGTAGCGGAGATTGATCAGAAGAAGCTCCTCGAGCTGCTAACCTGCTTTGAGAAGCTTTATAATGGACATTTGGGGAGCATGAAGTTTCCAGACTACATTTTGCCGATGGTGGAGCACTATACACCTATACAATCTAGACCGTACACCATAGCCAAAAGCGAAGAAGCCGCGGCACGAAAGGGAATCCAGCGTTTAATGGAGCTGGATGTGCTGGAGCAGATCTTTGACAGTGAGTGGACATTGCCTGTATTCTTCTTGAAGAAGCCTGACGGACGGCTGCGGTTGCTGACAGGCTTTCGAGCTTTGAATAAGTTCTTAAAGCGCAATCCGTACTATGTGCCGTTAATTCGAGAGGTGTTAATACGTCTGGGAGGTGCGAAGGTCTTCTCATCTCTGGATGCTAACATGGGAATATCGACAGCTCCAGATGAATACCAGGCGTGTACGTCGAGAATTTTGGGCGATTTAGACTTTGTGATAGTCTACTTGGATGACATCCTCATTTTCTCTAAAACGCCAGAAGACTATCTGGAGCATCTGCGAGTGGTGTTCACGCGGTTGGAGGTGTATAATGTAAACCTCAACGGCAAGAAATGTCACATCTTCTGCTCAAGTGTGGAATATCTGGACTTCCCTGTGAGCGCAGAACGCATTAAGCCTCAGGAGAAGTAGACCCGAGCGATCTTTCAGATCTAAACACCGATGAAAAGAGAGAACTGCGAAGATTTCTGGGAATGATTAATTACTATCGTGAGATGTGCCAGACAAGTCTGCTATCTTATAGCCGTTGACGCAGTTGACGTCTCCGAAGGCCACGTTTCAATGGACATCGGTTGAAGAAGACGCCTTCAAGGAGATTAAGAGGGCTTTGGCGAAAGCAGTGCTGTTTACGTTTCCAGAAACCATTCGGCATGTTCGCAGAGGCAAGTGGAAAACAATTTTGGGGACAAATAGAGCAACAAGGGAAGCTGATCACTTGCTACTCCAGAAATCTTACGACCAACCAGAAGAATTATGCAACTACCGGTTTGGAGCTGCTGTCAGTGATCAAGATTCTGAAGGAGCATAGGACCATGTTGCTGGGGTTTCCCATTGCGGTGCACATGGACCATAAAAATCTCATTAATCCCACAGAGAAACCGCTGCGAGTGAAGCGGTGGAAGTTGCTGTTATCGGAGTACAAAATCCCCTTCGAATATGTCCAGGGGAAGGACAATGTAGCTACAGATGCATTTACGCGGATATCATACGACGAAGAGATTAATGGAGAAGTGGAGGTGGAAACATTGCTGATCGATCCCGTTCATTGTGTTCTTGAAGGGAGATACATCAAGCAACACCAAGCTGACGATGAGTCGCACAAACTTTGATTCAATCGTGTATGAATGGCACGAATAATCCCGACTACCGGATCCAGAACGGGATGGAAGCCCGTCTATTGACTTTTCAAAAGCATGTATTTTTTCCTATGGTTCTACGTCAAGAATTGGTGGAGTGGGACCACGCTCAACTTATACATCCGGGTCCAAAGTGACAATTTAACACAATGAAGTTATTTTTCTACTGGTCGGGGATGGCTAGAACCATTGACAAGAGATCTCTCTTTTCAGGCTGTTTTCGCCTAAATTTAGTGTTGGCACTAACAAGGAGGGAAAAATGTATGTTCATGAAGATCGCTGTTTCAACTGCCTCTGCGTACAAACACATTGTCGGATATGCATTTACAAATTTCAAACATCGCGATTAAAACAGGATCTTGCTGGAGAAAACCGGCACGATAACTTGACCCTCCAGACGTCGGTGCATTGTAATACTGAGTACAACGACATGACAGTCATGTCAGTAGCAATGCTTCCATTTATTTCGATCGAATATACAAAACACCTACGTTCCGGAATTAGGTGAAGCCAACAGATCTCCCAAACACATCAATACTGATAAAGGACATGAATCGTGAGAACGTAGAGCTTGTAATGAGCGAAGAGAGGAGTCACCACTTGGGAAAGAAGGTCACAGCGAAGGCCACATGATGGGACAAGGAAAAATTCTGAAGTAATTGATTATTCAGAGCGTACACTGTCTTCTCTACCTAGACTGCATCCAATCACCAACGCTCTCTAATCTTCCAATTATCCTACTCACCAAATCATCGGTACCGTAATCAACGTACAGTGATCTTGGCAAGATTGTGTTGGAACCAATTCGGGTTGACCGGTTAATGGCTATACGCCGTTCAAAGTCGGTAACCCTCAATATCCCCCCCCCCCCTAAACGCAAACACGCGTGGATTCTGAGCGAGGTTGTGAGGTCCTTGTGACGCGGTCTAAGCATCGTATTTGTCATGATGTTCGCCAGCATCTTGGAAGTCTCGCAGTACTCAAGTTTGACTTCACCACGCTTGACCTCATCATGAATGTGATGGTACTTGATGTCAATGTGCGTGGCGCGTCCATGATTCACAGTGCTCTTGGTCATCTAGATGCATGATGGGTTGTCTTCAAGAGTTTTGAGCTCAAGTCCCGACTCGCATCTTGCCTCCAGAATCTTGCAAAATATGCGGTGACTACTTGATTCTTAGAAAGCCAAACTCAGCGCAATGTACTCTGCCTCGCTCGTAGACAGCGACATGCTCGACTGCTTCTTGCTTCTGTAACTCACCGGTGCGCTCATCAACAGAACGAGTAGCCCAAAGTTGAATTGCGGTCGGAGTGGTCACCAGCCCAATATGCGTCCGATTACCCGCGGATGTCCACCTTATCTTCAGGCGCAAACAGGTGACATGCGACTCGGTTCATGTAGATAGCAAACGTTGCATTTCACTGCGGTTCAGTGCTCTACTTGAGGGTTCTCCATGAAGCGCATTGCGTAGACCACAGCGAAAGCCATGTCATCATGTCGCGGTCATCAAGAGCGATAGGACACCCACAGCCTCGCGGAATGGAGCGTTCACCTTGGTTGGCGCGCTTGAGGCGAGGGCTCAAATCGACAGGATTCACTACAATATTGCCCTTATCCATGCCAAAGTGCTTGAGAATGTCGTCCACGTAGCGTCGTTGGTGCATCATCACGCTGCCGCCCGCGTTGTACACCAGCTCGATGCCCAATATGAACACACATTTACCACAGTCAGCCATCTCGAAACGCTTGTTGAGATCGTTCTTGCTGCTTGCAATTAGATCCGCTGAGCTACTGGTCGCCAACATATCGTCGAGATACATCAGCAGAAGCACGCAGTAATCGTCCACAATCTTGAGGTAGAAGGCACGTGTCGTAGGCCGAAACTTGAAAGCCGATAAAACACACATACTCGTCGAAGTCTCATTCCACATACGCGAAGCTTGTTTGAGACGGTAGATTGTCTCCACCAGCTTCAGGCAGTCGAAGGCGCCGTCGAGCTCCACACCTTCCGGCACCACACAGTACACGACCTCCTTCATACACCCCAGAAGAATGCTTTTACCGCATCCGGTTGCTCCAGCATCCAGCCAATGAACACGGTCAAAGCGATAATCATGCACAGCGTCACGTTCTTGATCACGAGCGAGAACGGCTCTATGTGTCTTCGTATAGTCGTTGCCGTACTTCTGTTTGAAGCCTGTAGCCACGAGGTGCGTCTTGTACTTCTCAACGGATTCGTCCACTTTGCGATTGTCTTAATGTGTGTACTGCATATCTAAAATTCCACGGTAAACAACTGCACGATTCGAATCAGGCAAATGGCGGATCCGTTTTTGATTATTGTATAGTACGTAGCACATTAAACACTTACAGATTGCAAGCCCAGTAAGCCTGGGCAGTGCGTTTAGCAGGCCCGTTTCCGCATCGCCCATAACAGCATCAATTCTTAGTCAGGTTTTCATTTGTGTCTGAAATATCTTAGCAAATGTTCCAAAAGCCTCAAAATACTTACTCTCTATACGCCGACTAACGATAAGTAAGACCGCAAGGTGGCACATGCATCGTTACATGGGGTAGGATATGCAAGATCTCTCGTTCGAAAGTCGCGCACAAATGGAAATGAAAATAGGCTTCG